TTATTTAAACATGAGTTCCTTTTGATATTGGCTTACAGGACAGAATAGTCTGCTCATGCCCATAGTTAGAAGGATTAACCCATATCACATGCCACAAAAATGCATGTGGTGTAGTTATGCTAAAAGAATTGTGCTTTGTATTGGTGCTGTAAAACCAAAACCAAACCCATATGAGCAAAATGTACGTGGAGCTGATGACACAGACAGTAATCCTGTTTAATAATTTATAAGGGAGAGAGTAACACGCAAGGACCTGGTAGAGCAAGGTAACAGGACATGCACAACATAGGACAGGCACAGAGTGAACCTCAAGCTCTGAGCTTAAATGGAGATCCTGGATGAAAGGGCAAAAAGTTTACAGCTGGGAGTCCTAGGTGAAGCTGGTATATATCAATATATATCAATTATAGCCAATTAGTGCACTGAGGGCTCTCACATCAGGCACAGATGATGCAGGGAATGTGACCACTAGTGGGGAAGTTGGAAAATTTCAGTGGACATACTACACTGTACTCATCGTGCTTTTAATATCTTGCTGGCGGAAGTTGGAAAATTTCAGTGGACATACTACTACTGTACTCATTGTGCTTTTAATATCTTGCTGCTGATGGTGTTCAGTCAGGGAAAAGGAAGCTAGTTGGAAAATATATTTTCATTATCAACAGCTTCACACAGTTCTGGATCCTGTTCTCTTTGTGAGGCTGGAGAGGAGGCACACAGCCTTACATGCTAAAGGACAGAAGCAGGTAAGCACTTGAACCTAATGTAAAAGTTTCCCATTTACCCTAAATGCAAATTATCCAGCTGAGTTTTTGCATCCACAGCCAGGGGTAACAGCGAGCAGATCGTGGTGTGTCTCCTACGACTCTTTTGTTAGTTTCAGCAGAATATGATCGATTTGACTCTTTTTGTTGTGCCCTCCACAGCAGGAGTGTACCTATTTGTCCGGCGCAGTACAGGAGAAAGGACAGGCATTTCTGGAGAGCTTGTGTTTGGTTTTGATCAGCACCTTACATCTACTGTTCCCTGCCTGTGTGGCGAGTGTGGGCTTCCAAAGGCTCCACCAAAGGCACCGTGCGGGCACCAGGCTGTGCATAGTTGGTGTTCACAGACCATATATAGTCAAGAAATGCAAAGAGTGGTCTCTGTACCGTAACCAGCACATTTTCATTAAAATTCTACACTGATCAGCTTGCCCTAAGTGGAAGTTGCTGCTGGAGGGGGTATGCCACAGATTGCCAGGCTGCAGATGGACTATTGGTTCTTGGAGCTCGAGCAAGTAATCTCTTAGAGATTGTCAAAGTACGTCTCAGAAATAACTTGTTTTTTCTGCTCTCCGCCAGTATTCAGCAAGGGGCTGCCTTATTTGCCATTGAAAGAGCTACGTCTCATGCTCCTCCTGACAGAGCGCTATTTAAGGCTCTGCTTAGCATTCATATTTCTTTCTTGTCAGAATTATTTGCTTTTTTATTTGGTTTTTAGAACCAGAGCTATAAATCTGGGGAGCGTTTCACGTGGTGTGTTAGGGTTTGATTGAAATCCCGCTGAAATCAATGAAAGCTTTCCTATTGACTTCAGTGGACCAGGTGCTTGGGAAAGAAAGAAAAATGGTCTGTTTTGAAATGAGAAGAACTGTATCCATGTCATAATCTTTATTACAAATAGCAGGAAATAAAACAAAACATCTTATGCATGTCATTTCCCAACAGGTCTCATATATCATTTAACTGCTACCTACATACACCCAGCTGTGACATGGAGTGCAGCAACAGCTCTGCTGGGGTATCTAGTAATTCTGTTTTATAAACACAAATATCTGAGGAAAAAGAAAACACCCTTATCTGATTGATACAAATATTCACATAAAATTGATATTACACAAAACAAGCAAGTGTCACAGGCTGTTTCTGTGAGCCCAGTGGGAAAAGCTCCCCTGTAGCCTCATTTCTACAAATATTTCTTTAAGGACTCACACTTTCCGTGGGTTCGGAAACCTCCATCTTCCCTTGCAGCTGTGATCTGGTTATCAAGAGAGCCAAAAAAAAAAAAAAAAAAGAAAAAGTAAATATTATGAAGATGTATCAAATGCTTCTGATACTCATCTAAGTAATTAAATACGGATTCAGGAGTCTAAAATCAAAGTGTGACATCTGCATGTTGCTTTGTTGGCTGAAGTACCAGAGTCTACTTGTGAGCTAGTTACTATAGAGACAAGTCTCAAGTCTCCAGGGATTTTACGGAGACGTGGGGATACTCAGGTCTTGTCAGAATTGCATTTGCACGCTGTATTCTCAGCTCACATGGAAATAATTACAGCTGTGGTGTTGCAAAATGCAATTTTGCCAAGACACTACTTAAAGCCTGAATCAAACTTTCACACGCTGACGAGGAAAAAAGGAAACAATGCGGAGAAGTCTCTGAAGTGCATGCAAAAACAAGTGCAGCTTTAATGATGAAGTATTTGATAGTGCCTTTATCAGCATGCAGTCATGTGTTTAAAGAGCATGAGCCACGGATGACTGTTGCAGCTTGTCATTCGCCTTACGGGAGGCAAGAAAGAGCTTCTTGTTTGATCTGTGAGATGAGCTGGCTTGTTGCACAAGGCAACAGAGGAGACTCTGTAGAAAACTCCACGGTGAAGTATTTCCTAAGCTGTTTTGGGCTCCTGCCACAAGGAAGTGCAGTGAGTGTAGGCACAGTGCAAGGAACATTGTGAAAGGGATTAGAAGGGAAGCATACCTTTAAAGATCATAGAAAAAAAAAAACCCAAACCAACAAAACCCAAAAGAGAGTAAATTACAGAGATGGTAACAAAATTATGTGTGTGCAACAAGAGTATGAAACAGAAAATAAGAAGTGCTATAACTGAAAAACACTGGGTTTGTCTTACTTTTCCACTGCTCTTTAACATTAACAGGAGCATTTTCAAAATTATTAAGACAAAGATAAAGCTCTATACTGATAAGTTCCCGTTTTCTCCTCAGGTCACAGTGTTTTAAATACTGGCAAACAATCAGAGACCAGTGGAAGCGGAGGAGCAGGAGGGTAGGACGGAGCTGCTCTGCAGGTTGAGAACACAAACATGTCTTACTTGAAGCAGTGAAGATACACAAACTTCATCTACATTTCTTTGTGATTACCAGAAAATCGCAACATTACCTAAGCTAAAAATGCTCTGTTGCCTTAGATGTCCCAGTTTAATATCCATTATGAATGACGCTACTGACATCTGCATCGTATCACAAATCCCACTTAGTAAATACAAAGATGTGGCAGAATCAAAGAATTGTCCAGGTTGGAAGGGACCTTTAAGATCATCTAGGCCAACCATCAACCTAACTCTGATAAAAAACCATCACTAAACCATGTCTCTAAGCTCTATGCCAACCCCTCTTTTAAATACCTCCAGGGATGGTGCCTCAACCCCTTCCCTGGGCAGCCCATTCCAAGGCTTAATAACCCTTTCAGTGTAAAAATTCTTCCTAATATCCAATCTGAACCTCCCCTGGAGCAACTTGAGGCCATTTCCTCTTGTCCTGGCGCCTGTGACTTGGGAGAAGACACCGACCCCCCAGTGAACAAAAATGGCCTTTCTGTCCTTTTCCCAGCGGTGGTTAAGATGTAGAGAGACATAAAACAAGAGCCAAAAGAGCATGTGAATACGCTGAATCCGTAATGGAAGCGTGATGCACCAAATCAGCTTTTGGGTCTCTGAGACAAACCACGACTCGCTGGTGTCTGCCCAGACAGAACACGGAAGGGACCACAGAACTGGTTCCAACAAGCCGTTGGTGTTCCCGGTGTGATCTTTACAGCCAAGACAAACACCATTAGTTCAAATGTGTAAGAACAAAACGCAACGGGGACAAGGTCTTTTCATCGCTTGCCTTTATCAAAGCGACTCAAGACAGACCCGTTCCACCGTGAGACGACATCAGCAGCACCTTCTGCCTTTATAAAATAGGGTGATTTTGTCTCATGCTAAGATAGAAATTGGTATTTCTGTTTGGAAAACAAATGATGTCCTTTTCACTTCTCATGAAGTATTTTGAAAAGAATGGCAAACACATACGCTTTTATCTGAGTTTCTTTTTTTTTTGTGTTTTCCAAGCAAAGAGCAAAACCCACACAGCTGAAACTTATTTTCAGTAAAAACCCACTGTTCATTCTTCCATTGCAATGTCGCAAATGGAAATAAAACCTAAAGTAAGTACACTTGAAGGCAACTAGAAACTTGTTTTTAACTGTTACATTGCCGAGTGACAAGATAAATGGCTTTGCTGCCCAGGGAGGTGGTGGAGTCACCATCCCTGGCTGTGTTTAAGGGCCGTTTAGATGCAGTGCTAAGGGACATTGTGTAAGGGAGGACTTTGTAGAGTAGGGTAGATGGTTGGACTCGATGATCCCAAGGGTCTCTTCCAACCTAGACGATTCTATGATTCTATTTTTACAGGCTTTTCCTCCATTAAGAGGAGAAACACCGCACAGCAGCAGCGTTGTTCAGGCGCTTTACACGAAGTAAGAGCAGGAAGGGCGCTACAACATACACAGCCGTGTTTAAGTATTTTTGTAACGGGGATTTTGCCTTAACCCCATCCCTTTCCCATTCTGTGGAGGCTCATCCCGCTAGAGGGGGACACAGCCACAGGGCCCAGCACCGAGCGCAGGGTGGGGGCGCTCCCGGGGCTCTCAGCGGGAAACAGAAGCCTCACGCGGGACCTCCTAGAGCCTCCCCTCGCAAGCTAACGTTAATCAATTAATTAATTAGTTAGTTCATTAGTTTAACCCCATCCCCGCCCCGCGCCTCCTGCCCCCTCACAGCCCCGGGCCGTCCCACAATGCACAGCGGCCGCCTTCTCCCGCCCTCCCGCCAATGGCAGCTCCTCCCCGCTGGACTACACTCCCCAGCATGCCCCGCGGCAAGGGGGGTGTCCGTGTGCGTGTGCCCGGCTCGCCCGCCGTCTTCCGCCTGTCGCAAAGTGTCGCGCCGCGCGGCCGGGGGCTGGGCTGGCGGCGGCGGGCCCTGCCCGGAGCCGTGCCGCGGCGAGCCCCGCCGGGCGGAGAGCGGCCATGGGCGGCGGGCGGTGATCCCCCGCCCCGCCACGCCTCGCCTCCCTCATCGCCAGGCAGGGCAGCAGCTATGGAGGAGGAGAGCATGGAGGAGGAAGGCGGCGGCGGCTGCGAGGCCATGATGGACGACCAGAACCACAACAACTGGGGCGCCGGCGGCTACGGGCGGCACCTGCTGGGCCCCGCCGCCGCCGCCCCGCTCGGTAACAGCCTCCTGCGCGGCCCCGCCGCCGGGCCTACGGCCGGCCCGGAGCTCTCCGACGTGCCCGAGGCCAACGGCGTGCTGCGGGGCTGCGAGCCGGGCAAGGGGGGAGCCGGAGCCATCGCCGCCGCCATCAACATCAACGCCTCGACCTCCAAGTTCCGTGAGTGACCGACTCGCCCTCCGCCCCCCGGGCCTCGGGGGGTGTCGCTTCATCCCTCCCCAGCCTGTCATCCCCCCCCGAGCCCCTCTCACTGCGCCTGTGGGCAGGCTCGGGTCTGTCCTCTGGCCAGGTCCCTTAGGTGGGTCTTGGCCCGAGAGGCTTCTGGAAGCGAAACTGACAGGGTGAAGGCGCTTTGGAAGGAGGAAAGAATGTCCTTCTGGAGTGCACCCCGAGTTCTGCTGCAGCTCCCCTGTCACGGCACGGTGACGTGGTGTATCTGGCTCTAGAACCGGGAGAGCAAGTGTAGGCAGGGTTTGGGGCTGTATGCTGTGCCTTTTCCTGAAGCTTTTAGCCCAGGTTGCGTTTTCCTGAAGAGTTTTGGTTTTTTTTTCTTTCTGCCTGAAAAACCTAAAGCAGCTGGGTCTGAAGTCGGTGACTGCTGAGGGCAGGTGGCCTCAGATGTGTGCAGAGCCCCGGGAGGGCTGTGCTCTCCTGCAAGGGGTGTGTGTCCGCCAAGGCCCAACGAAAATCACTGAAGACAAATTTACTCCCCCTGCAAAATAGTTCCAAAACACCTTTTGTGTGTAACTTTTAACAGAAATGGGAAATTTTTCTGTTGTGTTGTTGAGTTGGGGTTGAGAGAAGGGAAGATCTTTCTGCTGTTCACTTCAATTCTACTTTTATTCCCCGAAGTCGTGCCTCTTGGCAAAACATATCCTTTTCTTTAATGGTTGTAGGAAAACTTGGATTTGACTAGTTAAAGGTATTCCTGCAAATGTAACCATGTAACTGCTATGGTGAAATTTAGATGGAAAACACACTTTTTTCTTTGTTTTTCTCCCCTTTTCCCCCATGCTAGCTCAGCTGCCCAGCTCCTCAGCGCTCAGCTCTGGAGCTGATCAGAAGCTTGAAGTTCAGGCTTCTGGATCCCTGCTTCTCTGGTAGCCTGGGTTTCGTGGCTCTAGGCCCATTGCCAAGGGTGGCTGCTTTGAAGTTAAGGCTCCCAGACTCCATGAGCTCTGGCTCTCTGCTTGTCAGGGCTCCAGGTACCTTGGGGTGACTCGTAAGCGCTTGAGTCAGTTGAGATGAAACGTCCTTTGGCCTTGCTAAACTAAGCTTTTGAATTCCCAATCCATAAATTTAGAGTCTTAGTTTTTTCCTTCCATTTCAGAATGAAAATGGGTTTCGAGCTGCATCTTCACCAAGTGGGAAGGTGACTCTCCAGCTAATCCACAGTTTATGTCTGAGGGGGAGAAGTGGCTGTGAGTGGTTTTGCTTAGGGTGTGGTTTTTGGGTTCTTGTTTTCACTTCTCCAGCGTTGGTATCCCAACACAGTGTCTGCCTTGCTGATATTAAGTATTGTTTTAAAAAAACCTAAAATTTCTGTAAAATGAAAAATTCTGAGTTAAGTTCATTAGAGCTTTTCTGCACCTTGATATGGGGGATAATTTTCATGATACATGTACATGAACAGAGCAAGTCCAGTGAAGCAGTACAGACTGAGAAAGCACAGGAGCTGATTTGGGATCCTGCCTGTTCTACTCCTGGCTCTGGCAGAGGATCCCTTATTCCCCTCTGTTTAATTATCATGTATAGAAAAAGGGAGAAAGGTCACTTTTGATATAAATGGGCGGTGAAAAGGGAGACAGTGTGTGCTAGATGCCCTCCTGCCTGCTCTGCCTTGGCAGTGGCAGAACATATGCAGAGCAGCTGATTGTCAGTCCTAGGCTTTGATAGGAAGGTTGGCTGTTCTCTGCTGCGTGAAGAACCTCTTCATGGTTCAAGGACTCATGTCTTGCTTTGTGATGCAGCAGCTTAGTCTTAGACAGGTTTTGTACAGGTGACCTTCAAAACTGTGGGCGATGTCCAGCTTCCAGCAATCCTGTGATGAACTGGAGCACCTCTGACATCCAGATGGGTCTCTTCCTCCTGATCCTTTCCTCTAAAAGAGAAAATTCACTGCCTGTGTTCCATAACGTAATTACTTGCAGCGTGTTGGTTTTGTTCATGTTCATAGTTGCAGACTAAAGCTGTCTGATGGACCTTTTTTGGTCTAATTCAGCTGGCAGAATAATGGAGGAAGAAGGTTAGATGGAAACCCTTTAAAATCTTTCTAAGGATCCAAATTGAGGAGTTCTTTGAGATTTTTGTGAGACTCAGAACTAAAATTGGATATTGAGTAGTGTATTTGATAGCTTTTCTTCTAGTTAAAGCACCTTAAGAAAATTTTTCATGCTTTGGTAAACTTATAACCAAACCTCTATTTACAGTTGATAAGCTTCAGTTATGGATTTATAAAACAGTAGTGTTGTGAAAGGTATTTTTTAAAGGCCATAAGGGGAAAAATAAGAGTTTAATACTTCCAGCAAAACTCTTCTGTACTATGAATTGCAGCGTATCTGAATTGTGAAAAAAATGAAGAGTTTTCCCTCTTGTTTTTTTTCATCCCTTTCAGGCAAGGATGGTTATAAATGTATTTAACCCCAGTCCCATTTAGGATGGGCACGTGTGGCTGGGAACGTTGGCACGTCCATTAAATCTGTTGACTGCCCTGTTGTGTAATGTATTTCGGTGCGGTGAATGTGCTTTCCTGTGTAGGCAAATCGTCTGATGGAAAAAAAAAAAGTTACTTTTACTAACCAGCCTTAATGCAGGCTGAGAAACATGTAATAAAAATAGAATAGAGTTAAAAGTAACTAAAGGGCAGACAGAAACTCGCTAATGTATGCTGGGACGTGTCAGGCAGGGGATACAGCAAAATCTAGTCTGTAAATATGCGTGTGATGGCTGAGAAAAAGGAAAGCAATAGCTTAAAGCCTGTAGATTGCTCTCAGACATCTGCTTGAAGAGTTTGTACACTTTGAGGAAATGTTTTAGAATTGTAGGGTGCATTGCTAATTAAGCAGTAAAGCTTCGTCTATGTCACTTTGTGAGATGAAATAAAGCTTCTGAGAGGTGCTTACTGCTTTCTTTGATTTTTTTATTGTCAGAATAAATGACAGATAACTGTCAGACCGATGTCTGCTTACTTGACAGTAGGTCGGGTTACCCGTCCTGCCTTTTTAGCTGTAGTTTTAAATGAAGGGTGGTTTTTTATATGTGAACATAGTAAGCGTTTTGAGTAGCTTTTCAGGGTAAGTTGTCTAAATAACAAAGCCAACAGTATCAATGATTTTTCTTTTAAAATCATTATTGTGTTCTTTGTATCCTGTACCTATTACTCATTCAGTGTCTCTTTTGAGCTCTGTGTGTTTCTAAGTTTTTTCCTAATCAATTTCATGGGGGATATATGCCTGTTCTTGGACTTTTTTTTTTTTTTTAATGTAAAAACCTTAGTGTTTTTTACCATTCTTCTGATTGAAGTTGATATCAAAGAATTTGGTAGCTTGAAGCGGGCCGTGTTTCAGTTATGGCTATGGGACTGAGATATCTAGGTTATGATATGAAGCTCATGCATATTCTTTTTCACTTAAACAGTTTCACTGCTGCATTTGACTTGAACGGTTTTTCTTTTGAACTTTTCTGTATGTAGAAAAGCAGCAGTTGCTTCTCAAGCTTTACTTGTGAAGTCTTACAATTTCCTGGAAAATACTGGCTTCCTTTCCATTCAATCAGAGTGATTTCTCGCCCGGCCCCACCCCAAAGTTGCTGTATTTGGATAAAATCATGCATTCTAGTAAGCTTTGTTACAAAATGTCTGTGTCATTTTCCAGAAACTTAATAAATCAACGAAATGAAAGTCATCTTTTACTGTCACCCTTTCCTTCCAATCTGAAAATGGAGGTTGTTGGGCAAATCCTTTTAAACCTTCAATACTTAATGTAGGGATAAACATTTAAGAATGACATCCAAAAAAGATGGAAAAGTAAAAATCTGAAGAAGTTTGTAAAAGGGCTATCTGTCTCTTCTTTCTAAGGATGTGTGTGATTCTTTTCCTTCTTGGTCTTGAGGTTGTTTTTGCAGAGTTTGTAATTGGAGGGTGTTTCTTTAAGTCATCCCTATGCTTTTTATGTCTCTGTGTGTGCGTAAGCACTGCCAGAAAAAAAGGATGTTACTAACTTGTGACAGTTATTAAAATTTTAAAGCAATTTGTTTTCTGGATTAAAAGAATAAAAATAGTGATTGTTCAGTGTGTAGTCTTTGGACTCTTAACTATATAAATATTATGGTTGGCTTAGTTTCAGAACTGAAGTGTGGAAATCAAATGAAATAATACCCCTAAGAGTCTTTTGAATAAAAATGAAGCTTTTCTAGAATGTTGCTTTGAACTCAGTGCTTTCTAGGCAAGTCTCCCGGGGCTGTTCCTAAAAGCCTTTTTTTTCCTTTACCTGTGCAGCACTTCTAATGGGCAAACCTTCCTCTCTGCTACTTCTTTCTTTTTCCATATTGTAAAATAAATAAATATATAAGAAAATAAAAAAAAAGACATCTCAACAACCTGTTAAAAATTATTTTGTGGTGTTCTCAATTCTTAACTCTTTTCTTTCAAATGAATAGAGCTCATTCAATACGTTAAACCACACGTGGGTGTGATGATACATTGAAATCTTAAATCAAGACCCGATCTGACGTTTATGCTGACTTCAGTTTAATGTTTTCTGTAGAACAGAGCGCTTCTGTGGGGACCCAGCTTCTTTGGGATAACAAAGTGAAAAACAAATGCTCAGATTTTCCTGCTGAGTGTAAGCATGAATAGTAAAGCTGCTCCTGAGAACATCTCAGAGGCTGGGCTCTGCAAGGGACCAGAACTCACTCAGGTCATTGAGGGACAGATGAATAGGGTGAATTTACTGTCAGACGGGTGCTGTGTCGTTCCTGACCTCGTGGATGATTTTACATCATGGAGCTGACTTGCTGGATGTGTTAACTTACGTCCTGGTAGTTGTGTACCCGTGACCTCACTTGTAACCCTTATCAGCCTGTCAGCAAGTGGTGTGGTCCTTCCAGATTGTGGGCTGGGGTGTCCTGACAGCTTCCTGCAGCACTTGGCAGCGGTGACCTGTTCGCTGCTCAGGCACTTAGGAGGTTAACAACATCTCTTTCTGTAACAGATATGGAGCCAGAGTGAACCGATGGCTAGTTGGCTAGAAGATGGGGCTAGGAGTACAGCAATAACATTCTTCACTAAGTGAGGTTTCTGGCCGAAATGTCCTAAAAAGAGAGACATCAGGAATCTATAATACCTGCTCTAATAGATATTGTTCAAACACCTTGTCTCACACCTCTCTATTCCACATCCTCTTTTTACTCTCTTTTTCTCACGATACTGTTGTGTCTGTATTTCCCTAAAATTGTTCTTCATAATGCTGCCAAAAGTGACTTACCCAGCTCCTTCCAACCCCTTGTGAAAATAACTTTTCAGAAGTCTTGCTCCTCCAACCCAGCAGTGAATCTACATTTACATAAGTGTTTAAAATGCAGCCCTATTCAAAAGATTTTAGTGCGATGCCTAAACTGGATTGTTTGGGGTGGGAACCATCTTTATTCTCTGTTCCATAAAGCCCTGACCCACATGTGGGGTTCGTATGAAGAAGCAACTTTAGATTTCCTGATATATTTTGACAAGAAGTGTGCCCTGTGCTGTTTGTTACTGAGGGCTTGGCTTTGAGTCGCTGCTGTGAAGCTGTGGTGGTGTGACAACCCAACGAGATGGTCCTTCTGCAGGATGCCTCTGAAGGGAAGGTGTTAACCCTTCTCCTGTGGCTGCTGTTGGAACTGAGCCACCTGTGGTTAGTTCAGAAATCCTCCCTGAAAAGAGAGAGATAAAACACCTCCTGTGTCTGTGAAGGCAAATGGCATGGCTTGCACAAGAGGGTGCAGTTGGGAGGCTCAGGAGGAAGATCAGGGAGTGATGGGGGAATCCTAATTTAAATGCCTCCTCCTTCCCTGTGGTGATCCTTATCTGGAAAAGGAATATTATTGTGCCTGCTAGAGGGGGAACTGTAATACAGATCCAAAAATGTTGCCTGGGAGCCCAACTGTAACTGAAGGCGGAGAATTGCATCATTTTTTGGGCCAAGGAAGCTTCTGGTCCCACCTGAGGCTTGTAAAATTAATATATCTGCTGGAAAGCAGTATTCTGAAAACTATCAGTCTTGGCTGAAGGTTGTTCTCCTGCATGTGAGGACCAAGCATTAATTGTTGATTCTGGACTCCCACAAAGTTGTGTAATTTATTAATCTGAGCTGACTACTGAAATACTCCTTTTAAATTATTCTTATTAGATTGTCATGTTAGAACTCCTAGGATTTTGGTTTCTGCTGCTACTTGGACCTATAAGAACTATCCAAGCACTGATTTGGCTAGTCTTCTGATTTTATCTTCTGTAAATAAAAGGCTACATATTCAAGTGTGGCCTTTAGTTTTAGATGAGGTTGTCTTAGCGGAATTGAACTATCCCCAGTTTTTTGGCCAGCTTATGGGTGTGATCTGAAATTGCAGAGCATGCACTTGATTCTACTATTTTAGCTAAAGTTACTAAACGTAGTTTTGTCTTTTTCTTGTAGTAATGAATGTTATAACAATTGAAGACTATAAGAGCACATATTGGCCAAAGTTGGACAGTGCCATAGATCAGCTTTTAACTCAGAGTCCTGGTGACTACATCCCTATCTCCTATGAACAAATATACAGGTAAGGAAATCTTTAAAGTGCTATATGACTTTTTTTTTTCTTTGAAGTTAAATGTTTGTTTTATCTTGCAGCCTGTGCATGTGTAATTTTGTATTTATGGGGGGGAAAGTGGGAAGGTTATGTGAAGTACAATATTGTTTAAATAGCTAGAATGACTGAAAAATAGATAGATGTCTTGACATTCCATGTTAACAGGACTAAATGCTAAAGAATTAAAATGCCTAAGTGCTGAAAACATAAGCATTAAAGTAAGCTCTAGCACTTAGTATAAGCTCTGAGTGTAATATATTAAGAAAGGTATTTAGCTTTCAATATCCCTTTTATCAAAGGGGAAGATGAGAGTGGCATGGGAGGTGTTTGACTTAATGTTTCAAAAGGCTTCTTGCCATGTCTAATAGGAACCAATTTGGTGCAGCAGAAGTGCAGAAGCAAATAGAAGCAACTGGTGCCAAGGTCCACCCATATAAACTGCTATTTGTGTGTTTGGCATCAGGTAGATTTGGTCTGATTTGCCCCTTGCCCAGCCATCCCGCTGCACGTGCAGTTAGAGGCTGTCTGAAGGACTGACACGATGTTCAGCCCTTTATATCTCTGTTCTTGTCTGGAGACGTGGCAGTTTCTTAGGAGATTTGAGAAAATGGAGATTGTTCTGTAGGTGACATGTATCCAAGGTGTAGGTAAACAGGGTGGAAACTGGGTAGCAGTTACTGCATTTCCTGGCCAAGACGCTGTTAAAACTACTGGCCCTTGCCAGCAACACAACTAGCAGCACTGCTGTCGTGGTTTTCTTTACCATAATGCTGCACCCTAGGAAATAACACAGGCAGTTCAGTCACTGATCTCTTTTTAGAGGCTTCCAGCTGTATTGTCTCTTGCCCACTTGCTTTTGGCCACTTCATCTCTCTAGTTTGAAATTTTGGATAAGGGAACCAGATACAAGAACGGCAGGTGTTCAGTTTTCCCTCTTAATTCCAGTTAAAATCTTTAATAAATTTCCTCTTTCCAAGCTCTTGGAACTGCTTTTGTCAGGGCTCAGACATCATCATGCGTAGAAGTAATTGAGATGGTAATTTGAATTGAGAGGCATTTTGCAGCTTTAGTGTAAGTAATCAAAATCCTTTCCCTAGCTTGAAGTCCCCAGTGTGCACACAGCCACCAGTAAGAGTTCAGACACAATCTCTTGATAGTCATCTCTGATAAAGAGTAGCTGTGCAAAGGTAAGGTGTTACCTAGAATGGATCTGTACCTAGTCCTGGTTTTCAGACAACTGCAGTTTATCTTCTGTCATCTTTTTACTGCTCAAATGTTTCATTTATTAAAGGAATGATGAGTTTGAAGGTGTCTCCTAGCTAAGCCTTATACATTAGGGTGATGCTTGATGTTGCATGTATTTTATCAAAACAAAAGATTGTAGTTTAGTGTTACTGATAAAGCTGGTGTGTCAGTTTTTTAAAGTTTTCTTTTAAAAATTGTGTCTGTGGATGTAATAACTCTGACATAACCTCTTCCAATCAGCAGTTGGGTTCTTTAAATTTTATTTTAGAAGGTGTCCCTTTGCTTTACTTATAAGCTAGACAAGATAGCTTGAGGATGGAAAAAACACTGCTTTTTTTTTTTTTTTTTAATTTAATGGTGGTGCTTGCTTGGAGTATTACAGAAGGTCTGTAGCAGACTTGAGGTTTAGATCTCCTCTGCCTCCCTAGGCTAGTTCTTTAGTCTGAAAATTGTTTTTAGAAGTGGTTCGGCTACATATCTTCTGTATTTTTTTTACAGTGAAACTGGGCTGAAAATACAGTGTTCTTTTTGATTGTCTTTGTGCTGACCAAAGGAATCAAGCTTTCCATTATGCAAACTCAAAATATGTTGCTAGATGCCCAAACTACTATATTTGACATGATCAGTGGTAGCTGTAGGTGTCTACTCCACAGCAGTGAAAGCCAGGAGATTACTTCAAAGGTGTGTATGCAGGTATTTACTATGGATCAGTTTACCCACAAGGTATAAAAGTGTGATTAGTGACTGTTTTCCAGTCCAAACCCTGTCTGTGCATAGTCACTTCCTATTGAAAGGGTTAAATGTATTGGCAGAGAGGTGGGAAGGAAACTTGGAGATGAGGAAATGTGAGCAGCCAAGTTGTACTTTTGGCAGCTGTTACAGCTGTCTCACAGGTAAAATGAGATTAGATTGTAGTTCTTCAAGTCAAGTTAGAGATCCCAGGTCTTCATCCCTCTCCATAAATGCTTACCACCTTCTTGGGCCTTCCTTTTCTGAAGGTGTCTGGTTGTGCTAAAGGACTAACAAGCTGCTGACTTCTTTTGGGTAACAGCAGGGCAAGGATGATTCACAGAATCAGTCTGCAATCAGGAACTGGAAACAGGATCTGAAAATGGGGAAGGAACCTCTAAACAGATGTGTTCAAATAAAATGTAAACACATTCTGCACAAAGATGTGAAGATTGGTGTTTGACTACAGGATGTGTTGCAGAAGTAGGTATAGCAATGTTGTATGTAACACAAAGCAGACATGTACTCTTTAAAACTCAGTTGAGTTATGTCATTGCAAATGAAGTGTTCAACTTGTGCAAGTGTCTATTCACTGGTTAGTTATGGAGCAAACACACATGGCCATTTGCCTTTGTTACCAAGCTGGCTGGTTTGTAAGAGATCACAGAAATCAGCCTGGCTTTTCCTACCAGTGTTTTTCTCTTTGATCCAAATTAAATTGGTGTGTTTGCTGTTACTGCATCATACCAAAATGTCTTTTTCACTTGCCTGTTCCAAAGTAGGATCTGCTATCAGTAGACTTCACGTGAAAGAAGCAGAATGACTTTTACTGTTACTTAAATAATATCAAACTACAGATACTCCATAATTTTTAAAGGACAGTAGTAGGAGAGGTGTGGGGTGTCTCTTGGTTTGTAAGAAACAGCATGATGTGTCCAACGAGCACACTTGCCTAGGGATGAATGCTGTATTTTTGTGGCTTTTGAAGTTGTCAAGGGGAATAAATGCAAACTTCTAAAAGTTACTGATAGTTCACTTGTAAAACCTTCCTCCAGAAGACTTTGAGAGTGGCAGTTACTGAATGAGCGTGTTGTCTCGGCCCCTGAAGGCTTGGAGCTGGTGCCAAACCTCTCACTTGCATTAGAAAATTCCAATAGCCCATAGCCTACAGTTGGTTTAATCCCAGTTTTGCAGTTTGTCATCCTCCCACCTTCCCAGTAGGGAATTGGAATGTCGTAATTCCCTTGCAGAGGCACAGTGTTGCTGTACCATAGCTGTAGGCTTTTGGTGCTCTTAAAAACCTGCAGAATTCAAGCCTGGGATCTGGACCTTGCTGGAAATTGTTTGCTCATGTCCTACGGAGCAGTCTCTGGCCTAAACTGCTTGCTAGCAGAGGGATATCCATACAGAGGGATGGAAGGAGAGGGGAGCAGAACAGAGGCATGGGGAGGAGCTTTGAATTGCCCAGGGTATCTTGTGTCTCTTGATTTTTGGCAGCTGGCTTTCAAAATGCTGACTTCAAAGAATGAAAGCACTTGAGAAGTAAAAGTAGCTTGGTAAAGATAATGTTGGTGTTAGTCATGATGATGATGACTACCTTAATATAACCTCTTGCTGAAAGTGATATATGTGTGTGTTTTACAACTGTTGTAAATATATAGCTTTATTTTGCAGATAAGTTATGTTGCAGTATAAGAGCCATAAAATGTTCTTAAAAAACAAAGGTAACACTGAAGACCAGAGTTAATGCAGCCAAGCCATGGAATGTAGAATTAAAGTTTTTTTGCTTTTTCTTTGTACCTTTGTTTATTAGGAAAATGTAGCATTTTCTTAGAATTTAAGTAACAAAGGATGTAGTAACATGCTTGGGTCTGTAGAACTTTTGCTGTTTCTTTTTAAAACACTAGCACGGTTTTGATGCATCTTGTCTGCTTTGCCCTTCTTTTAATAAGGGTTTTGCCCTAGAATATGCATATAATTATTAAACTTGCTTATTTTAATGGGGAGTTCATTCACATAGGAGAGACAAAAGCCAGAATGAGGAGTGTGCTGTTGACAGAATTATCCTGGCTGTTCTGAAGGGCTCTGTTAAGAGAACTCCTTGTAAGTTAAAGTGAGGTCCAGGAGTGGGAATGGGATGGACACACTGGGGCCTCCAGGGGGGACTTAAGAGTCTGCTGGACCTCGTTCCAAGCTTAGGGCTGTATTTAAAAGTTCATCAATCATTCAATTAACTCTATTATCCTTTAAATTGAGACTTGAACAAAATATTTTGAAGTCTGTTACCCTTCATTGCAAACTGTTGTAAGTTCATTGTTTGTTCCTATATTTGTTTCTGCAGTTGTGTGTATAAATGTGTATGCCAGCAGCATTCGGAACAGATGTATAGTGACCTAATAAAAAAGATAACTAACCACTTAGAGAGAGTCTCAAAGGAGCTGCAGGTAAGAAGCTGCACAATCTAATTCTGTCTTTCCTGGGATCTGTGATTATATCGGAGCAGCATGTAGATGGCCCACGGAGGGGATTGCCTTTAAGACTGATTTACATTAGCTTATTAAATTGCAGAGAACTTCATTCACTAACTGGCTGGCAGACAGAATGCGAATTACTAGATCCAATTGCATGGCACTGACTAGCCTTAGAGATCAGAACCACGTGGAGAGCAGTGGCAAAGGTTGAATATATATAATACAGAATCAAAGACTAGAGAACAGGAAATCTACAGTGTAATCTAAAATGTAAATGCTTCAGGCAAACGTGGTCTGAGCACATGACATGGATGTCTGCCTTTGCTGTGTTAATCTGTATAAACTTTTTGAACCTTGTGCATCACAAGCAGCACAAAAAGGAAGATCTGAAGGAAAAAAAAATGAAGTGACTTAAATATGAGTTGTAAAATATAAATTAGGAATTATTGCATATGAAAGTTTTTGTGCTACAGTTTATTCTGCATTTTTCTTGCCTATCTCTAGATGTCAGTGGTTTACAGCAGTCCTAATACACTTTGTATATCCCTATCCTTCCCTGCATCTCATTTGTGCATCCATGTTTGTTTTCATGCGTGTTCCTTGTTGAAAATTCCTTTTAGGCTAGAATCTCCAAACATTTCCTTGAAATTGTCATTGCTGTAGAAGCAAGGCTGTTTTGTTCCTTGTTGAAAATTCCTTTTAGGCTAGGATCTCCAAACATTTCCTTGAAGCAACGCTTTTGTTTCCCTACAGCTTTTGTCACTTCCATAACTGTCGTTTGAGTTCTGTACTGACTTGCAGTGCATCAAGTCGAGATGCCAAATGCAAAGGAACCCTAAACTACAGCAGCTCCTGCAGCGCTTCTAACAACTGATAACTAATTTCTGTTAGTCAAAAGCAGTCTTACTACTGCAGTAGTCTTACTGCTACTTACAGCCTTAGTGCTTTTAACTGTATCAAGTGCTTCTGGCTAAATGTGCATTCTCATCAAAATATATAGCACTGTGATGGCTCTGGTGTCCTTCTCATTTCACTCTTTTCCTCCTGTTGCTTTCCTTATAAAGAAAAATAACTGTGCGTTTAATGGGGACGGTCTGTGGGGCAGTCTTTGACTATAAAATACCTAGGCTGTCTGGAGCTAGGTTCTATGCTTCTTTTTTCTTTTACAACTTGTTATTCCCCATGGAGTGACAGCTTTGCTGTTTTGTAAATATTGGCTAGAGTACCTTATAAAGAAAAATAACTGTGCGTTTAATGGGGATGGTCTTTGGGGCAATCTTTGACTATAAAATACCTAGGCTGTCTGGAGCTAGGTTCTATGCTGCTTTTTTCTTTTACAACTTTATTCCCCGTGGAGTGACAGCCTCACTGTTTTGTAAATATTGGCTTGAGTGTGTGGACATAGTATTTAAAATCAAGCCTTCCCTTGGTTCTGCTGGTGCAGCCTGTACGTTTTCCTGCTGCTTGTGAGAACTACAAATCATTGCAGCTGTACAGGTTTGGCTAGTTCTTCTGATACATCCCGTGGTAGTGTACTGCATTGCTTTGCTTTGAATTTGGGAGTACCCCAAATTCTTTTCGCTGTGGTAGTCCTTGACTGTTTCCTTTAAAGTTCCAAAACTGAGTGAGGCAGCTGCTTTTAAGGTTTGCTTTAGCACATATGTGCATCAAATGCTTCTGCCTAAAAACAAAGCCGCCTTCTGAGCATCAGCTGTTGAAAGAGTAATTGAGACAACTCTTTAATGCAATCTTTGTCTTGCGAAAGTTCCCTGACGTAGGTTGGGCACACCTTGTGGCAGGTGGCAAGAGGACTGTCAAGTAAAGGGATAACATCTTTGGGTGTTTTACCTGAGTTTTGTCTGATGCGAATGTGACTCTGGTTTTGGATGGTGAATCCATCTTTTTGAGCTGCTTGAAGTAAAACTTGTGTATTAGAAAATTGTCCTTTAAAGAAATCCTTTAACTGTGGGTTGTGAAATTTACTCTTAAGAAACTACTATGATATATTTTATTATCCTGATACCTGTTTGATCTTGATACGTTTTGATGACACTCAGTCACTTGGGTTTTATATTGAAAATGTGGTGCTAGATCTTTACTCTATCAACAACAACAAATTACTTTGTAAGTGTTGGTCACTTGGAAGTTTCTGTTTTACGCAGGCAAATAATAAAAAAGCCCTGTATATGCAAATCCTTTTAGTGCACAATACATGGTGTCTTGCTTTCTCTGACATAAACTCATTCCACCTGCCAACAATATTTGATGTAATTGCAGAGTTCTGTCTAATTGGCAAGGTGTGACTTGATGCAAGATAATTTTTTTTTTTTACATACAGAGATGCAAATGTAGCCCAATATAAGCAGGAATGTTGGTTTGTGTAAGAAAGCAGATGGTGATGAATACTGAAACGGCAGGCAAGTGCAGTGTCTTACTCTGGGCAAGCCGAGCAACTTCTTTGCATAGAAGTGCAACAGTTTAATGGCAGGTGGATTGCAGAACATCTGCATGTAACCAACGTGCCAGAGCAAGCTGTTTTCTACAGGAACCACTCAGCAGCAGCAAAAGCAGTAAAACTGTCAGATACCAAATAATAAAAGTGGGAGCATCTCAGGGACCGGTCAGACTTGCTCTTGCGTGCTTTCAGCCTTATTGGAGTTTGTCTTCTTTCTTCCAGGCATTCATTGCAGAAGCTCCCTATAGTTTCCCCCACCCCATGTGCTTAGCCCTCAGCTGGAGACAGCAGAGTGGGGGGCACTTGGGGTTCTGGAGCTGGGTGTCTCGGGTGCTGCTGCTGAGGTCCCATGGTCACACAGGGGTGCACACACTCCCTGGGCATCCCCTGCGTGACTTCTGCTCTTCCAGACTGCAAAACACATTGTCTGACACTGGTATTTGTCACCAGGTGCACTCCCAAAGGTCTGCTTCACAGGTTTTCACC